TTTTATCTTATCATCTCCATATCCTCCTATATATCTATATCATATCCCCTTTTCTTTTTTAGAAAGAGATCACATTTATAATCAACCTGTTTTAAATAAAAATATTTTTTTTTCTGTCCCACACCAGAGGGTTCTTCTGATTTGGGACATAAGAATCTCTCTCTCTCTTTTTTTTTTATACTAGCAATAGTTTCTTTTTTTATTTTAATATACTTTAGGAAACAATATACAAAGCTGAGCTTTCCCACCTTTTCTGTGTAACAGCAGGAAACTCTGATTATGCAAACTGAGCATTTTGTGATGGCTAAGAAAAAGCTGTCAGCACCAGACTTGAACAGTTAGCTACAACACAAACATCCTTCAAAATGAAGTGTCATAATAGCAAGACAGGAAAACCAGGTTGAACAAATGATATCACTTGGGAAGTGACTTCATCCTTCTTGTTGAATTTCACATTCATTAAATATCTTTTGCACAATTTATTGTTAATATGCTTTAAGCAAAACCTCCCTTTAAGGAATTACTGTAATAAGATATAAATATTCAACAAGAATAGTTTTGATAAGGAATCCCCATGTAGTTCAATTTCTAATATGCACTGACCAAAGGAAAAGAAAGTAACACAATGTATTTGTTTAAACATGTTTATTACAACAGATACAATTCACATCTGATTAGCTCTGTTTCCTCTTCCCCTCCCACAACCATGTTCATTGGGCCACTTCCTTATACTTGAGCAGTCAATGTACTTTCAGCACACTTGCCCAGCAGTACTTTTAAGTCCATTCTTACAGGGTGCAAATGGATTTCAATAACTTATACAAACATGTGGGTTATGCTCGATCACTGCAACTTCCAGCTACTGTACACAGGAATGAGAAGGTGATAGAAAAGTGCCACAGCAACAGTGCCCTAGAAAGGAGAAGGGGCACCTTAAAAAATGGATAAAATCAGGCCAAGGACTTCTGAGGGAATGGAACATACAGGAAATGAAAACATGTCTTTGTGAAACAAATGGAGCAGAACAGTTGTCTCATGATATCTGTACACTGCTCAAAGTTGTGTCCTTAGACACAAATCGCCTGGCACTTGCACTGGATTTTGGAAAATACAAGATTTCTGAATGATAAATTAACCCCCCAATTTTTTTTTCTTTTTTTAAAAAAGCTAATTTTGCATACAGGTTTCCATGTAAAAGGCTAGGTATTTAGCCACCTCAGCATTGATTAGTTTCAGATGTCTAAGCTCTCTTACACATAGCTTCCCATGGCTTCACTCTACAAAACATATTTAAACATGAAGATACATCTACAAGAAATCTACATTTCAAGGGTTTTACAGATCAATCTTGTATCTTTCCCCTGAATTGACTCTCACAGACCCCCCATCCCCTTGTCATTTCATTTGCCCATCTTAACGGTCCACAGTTTACTTAAATGCAGCTCAAAATATTATGACTGGGCAATAGATTTACAGTTCCTGTAGGATTCCATGTGCCATTATTCACATCTTCAAACCATAAAGGAATTCTGATTTTTTAGCTTTTCGAGTTCCTTAATTTGTTGTCTCAAAAACAGTATCCTCTGCTCTCGCAAGGTTGCTTGAATTTCACATACTCGAATTAGAGATCTCAAATTTTTTAATTCAGTACATATTTCTGACATATGAACACTTCCATATTATGGGCTTCTTCACGCAATCGTGATGCCTGTTTCTCTGCATGGTTTGCAGGCCACCCCTGAACATGTTTTATGAGATTATCATTGAAGTGTGCTGCTAGTGTAGGTGTTAATGAACATGCAGGCCGAGCAGACGTATTCTGTGGTACAATTGTTGCATTTGATGCATTACTACTGGAAGTATGATTTGGACCAGGTGATGGACTTCTCTGGCTGCTTAAGCGCTGAAGACTTCGAGGAGAGACAGGCTCGTGACTCTGCTGTTTATCAGCAGTTACAGGCTGCTGTGTGGCCGACTGTGACACTGGCCCTTGCTTAACTACTGGAGTACTAACCTTTGGCTGTGACAAAACAGGTGGAGTACTAATCAAAGGTTTGATAGGGACTGTGTTTGTTTGAGGTGTGTTTATTCTTGGAGACACATAGGATCTTGGGGATGAAGCATCAGACGTTAGAGACATCGGAGACTGATTAGATGGCTGGGCTTGTGTAGAGAGCTGGGCAGCTTGAGAAATCAGAGAGGTGATGTTGAAAGCAGATGTCCAGCAGTAAGAAACTTGTGGATGATAGACTGCAGGGAAGCTTGTGTTACAGCTGCTGTAAGAACTTCATTTATTTTGGATATGTCCACATTAGAATTATTAAAATGTAGCGTGGCTTGCAAAGCAGGAAGCAACTGTCTAAGAAGATTTGGGTCCTGAAGTAAAGGAGGTATTGGTGATTGTGGAACAGGAGAAACAGGTACTGTTGAAGCAGATGTTGGGGTTGCAGATGTGGGGTTCAGGCCAGAGGCTGAAGATGTGGAAGGAGTTGTGCAAGAATGTGATACTGATTTGTCTCCTGGAGCAGATTCTTTTCTCTCTGTTTTTTGTGCAGGGACAGAAGCTGTGGGTGTAGGCAGTTTGGATAAAGCAGATGCTCCATTAGCATCAAATGATTTCTTTGGCTGGTGATCAGATTGAAGCATAAATGGACTAGAAGGAACAACAGTGCTGGGGGTAGCGGTTGGATGAACCACTGGTTTGATGGGGTGCTGTATTGGCGCAGAGCTACTGTGAGTCTCTGCTCTTGGCAGTCTGTAGTCTTTGTCATTGTGTCTGCTTGTCTGAGACAAAATGTTCTGTGGGAGCAAACTACTGGCATCGCCGGACTGCTTGTCTTCTATTCCACTGGTGAACCCACTAGCGGCTGTCGCTTGCATCACCTCTCTTCTGTAATTCCTATCTTTTGGGAAACTATTAACTGCCGACTTATTTGCTTCTTTTTGTTTCTGTTCTCTTTCAAGCCACTCTTTTGGTTTTTCCCACTGTGAAACTTCTGTGCAACAATTGTAGTAATATTTTTTTCCAGAAGAGCTAATATGTTCAGACCAGTCATCTGCAGAATCATAAGGTGCATCTGAAGTTTTGCTTGGATTATTGCTTGGATTAGAAGAATGTGAATTTGAACTATGAAGAATTTTCTTGTGGAGAGTAACTGGTCCCACCTTCTCTTTCTCTAACTCTTTGAGTGTGCACATTTTTGGCCTTATTGTGACCTATGCTGTCACTGTATTTGTTTTCAGGACTATCAGATCTCCGCAACATTTTATTTGGTGGTGAAGGATGTGCAGCGTCTCACATCTTTTCATGTCAGTGATCACCACTACTGGGGTGACTCTTTGACGAATACTTAAGTGCCTGGAAAGGCTGCGAGTCCCCTCTCCAGTCGTGATAGCCATCACTGAGTCTCTGCTGTTTCCTCGCATACATTACCATCAATGCCCGGCTGTGTGTGTGTCAGGGAGGGGTGGAGAGCAGCCGCGAGGCGGGCGGACGCGCACACGCGCGGGCGGTGGGCGGGCAGCGGGCAGCGGGCAGCCCTGGCAGCGCACCCTCAGTGGCTCGCGGCACCTCCCCGTTACTGGCGCCAGCACCCCTGGCCATGTCCCTCGGTCACCACCACTTAGGGTCGGCCTGGGCAGCGGTGCCAACTACACAGCGGCAGTGAGAGCCAGGGGGAGGGAGGCGAGAGGCCGTGTTCGGGTCACCGCGGAGAGCGAGTGCCTCTAGCACCTTCCCCTCCTCCTGCTGCTGCTCCGCCGCTGCCGCTCCCCCCCCCCCCCCCCCCCCGCCGCCATAAGAATCTCTTAACCATTTTTTTTTTTAAAGCAATATGTCTGGGTTTAGAGGGGGAGTGAGCCAATTCCACCTCTAAAGCCAGCT